GTGTGTGCGTGCGCGCGCGCGTGTGTGTGAGAGACAAAGAAAGAGAGAGAAAAGATACTCAGTGAGATCTTGTGTCAGCTGGGAAGGTTACCTGAATGTTTGTTTCAATAAGACATGTTTATTTCTTGAATTGAATGCTTGGATCATTCATCTGTCCACAGAATTGGATATGTCTGTGCTGTGGCATTCTCTTTTTGCTCTTGCTCTGAAGACAGAATTTTCCCGGTCCCTCTAGTGGGTCACAGATATGGAAGGCAGCCGGTGCCCACTTGGGAAGGCAGGCCAACAGCCACAGTCTCTCCATTATGTGTTCACTGAGCATGAATGAATCTGAATCCATGTCATATCTCTTGGAATGGCAGCCACTTTTGGGGATCTTGAGGTTCAGGAATCTACCAAACATTCCCACTAGGAAAGGCCACATGTGCTGGAGCCCCAAGGACAAAGGACTTTGGAATGAAATACACCTAATTGAGTTACAGGTGCATGGAAGGGAGTCTTCCACTAATTTGGGGAGACTTTGAGTAAGTTACCTAAATGATATGAGCCTCAGTGTTCTTCACCTATAAAATGGGGTTAATAAAAGACACCTCACAGAGTTTAGGGAGTATTAGGTGAATAGATTCCTGGTAAACCAGGGTTGTTTCTCTTACTGTGTTACCTCTCTGTGCATCCTGTCTCAAAGCTCAGGGCTCTGCAGACATCAGAACGTGAGCAGATACAAGTCTGAGAGTGACGTCCAACTCCTGTCCTCCCAGATTCACCTGTCAGGGGTCATGCCTGATTTCTGGTCCTGCGGCTTTCACCACCTCTCCTTGACGTAGACCCTTCATGGTTTGGTGAGACTTGACCTCCTCCTCTCAGCCTTTGGCTGCAAAAGAGTCTCTACTCTGCAATTCTGTCCTCAGAGCCTCTCAGACAGACCCTCTACCTCTGGAGCAGCTTGGCTGACAATTTTACCCTTCTCCTCACTCTGTAAACTCTTCTGGGGGTGTAGGGACACACCCTGGAGTTGAAGAAGATGGGGTTAATACTCCCCCAACTCCAGAACATCCCTCTCCCCAACTCCTGGGCCTACCTAAGGGCCCAGCGTTTGCTGCAGGAACACACAAGGACAGCATCTTTAGCAAATGGTCTACATGACTGTGGAATGGCCTTCCTGAGTCCACCCGAACAGCGATTCTAGAGTAAGTTCTTGCCACAGGCAGCAGGAAGGCCTGAAGAGGAAGGCGGACACCACAGAGCCCAAGGGTCCGGGGATTGTGGTGGGAGATGGGGAGCCGACAGAAGCAAGGAACTGAGCTCAGGCATCGGGGGAGAGGGGATAGAGATTTAGACATCAGAGCTAGTCACTCACCTAGCTAGTGAGAAATGCACACCCAACGGGAGGCTGCCAGGACTCATCCAAAACAATGGTGAGTCCAGCACTACCAGGGACATGACTATGCACATAGCAAATCCAGAAAAACTGACATACAAATGATTGGGATTAAATAAGTGAATTAAAAAAGCCCCCAATTCACAATCAATATAAAAAAAATCAGTTGCATTTCTGCATACCAGCAACAAACAAATAGAAAACGAAATTTAAAAAAGGATTCTGTGGTACAATGGGAAATAGACGGTTGGTCTTTGTCCCCCTTCCCCCCACCCCCAACTCCATTCCTGGCACACAGCTCTTAAAACTCTTGCAATCCCTAGGGTGACAAGAATGTTGGAACTTCAGCCTCCCCTGCCCCTACCCCTGGAAAGGGAAGAGGGGCTGGAGATTGAGTTAATCGCCTGTGGCCAATAATTTAATCAATTATGCCCACCTAGTGAAACCTTCACAAAAACCCCTAAGGGACAGGATTCAGGGAGTTTCCAGGCTGGTGAACACATCAAGGTCCTGAGAGGGCGATGTGCCTGGGGAGGGCATGGAAGCTCTGGGGCCCTGGCCTACACCTTGCCCTGTGCATCTCTTGCATTTGGCTGTTCCTGAGTTGTATCTTTTCTAATGAACCAGTAATAGCGAAGTTCCTTCCTGACTTCCTGACTTCCATGAGCCATTCTAGCAATTGATCGAATGTGAGGAGGGGGAATGTATGGGAACCTCAATTTATAGCCAGCTGGTCAGAAGTACGAGTGGCCTGGGACTTGAAACTGGCATCTAAAGTCAGGGTTGGGGGCAGTTTGTGGGGCTGAGCCTGAGGGATCTGTGCCAACTTCCAGGGAGTTAGTGTCAGAATCAAATAGAACTGCTGAACACTGAGTTGGTGTCAGAGAGTTGGAGAAATGATCTTAGGAGGGAAAAAAAAAATCCTCTCATTGGACGTCAGAAGCATTACTAGGGGAAAAAACACTTAAAACACCTTTTAGCATTTTACATGAAAAATATCAGATACCTAGGAATATATCTAATCAAAGATGTTCTAGGTTTCTACATGGAAAAATATAAAACATTACAGATAATAAAGAATGTTCATAGATTGGAAGACTCAATATTATAATGATGCCAACTATTCCCAAATTAACCTACAGAGTTATTGCAATCTCAATCAAAATCCCAGCATACTTCTTTAGGTAGAAATTGACAAACTGATTCTAAAATGTGCGAAGAAACATATAGAATCAGAAATAGCCATGACAATCTTGAAGAACAAAGTTGGAGGGTTACACTACTAGATATCAAGATTTATTAGGAAGCTACAATAATTAACATGGTTTGGAATCAGCACAAAGATTGATGAGGAGACCAGTGGAACAGAAGAGAGAATCCAGAAATAGACCCATTCACATACGGTCACTTAATTTATGACAAAGGTGACACTGTAATATGGTAGGGAACAGATGATCTTTTCCATAAATGTAGCTGGAGCAATGAGATATCCATGTAAAAAAAGAATCTGGAAAAATGAATTCATATCATATCCCCAAATTAACTGAATGTGAAAGGTAAGATAATAAAGCTGGTGGGAGTGATAGTGGGGGACAGGTCTGGTGGGAGTGATTATGGAGGGCCCCAAGTGGTGGGCTCTCCTGGAGCCCCTGACCTGCTGGGGCCCAAACCTGTCCACACCTGTGGGTCCTCAGGACAAATTAAACTATCAAGGTTTTCTTTACCTAAAGCAGAATTCTTGATGGCATAGATTAGGAGTAGGGAATTCTTTCCAAAGATTCCATCTAGACTCATTTATAAATGCGGTAGGAATACAGTGAATATTTGGAGGAAATAAAGCAAAATATTCACTGTTGTTGTGTTTGACTGGTGGGGCTCCAGGTGATTTCCTCCTACCTCATCTTTCTATTCTTCCAAATTTTCCTTAAAGACGAGTGGCTGCTCTTTTAAAGAAAACAAAGTATTTTTAAATAAAGGGAAGAGGGATCCACGAGGACTGAGTTGCTATGAGATACACACCCACTAGGGATCCAGTGTTGCCAGGTCACTGGGTGTGAGTCATCTGAGACTCAAGCATCCCTGCATCTCTCCAACAATGGGGCCTGTGTCCTGGGAGCATGCACGAATGCCCAGACAGGGGCCCTCACTTGCCATTTCCAGGTCTCCATCTTCCACCCAGCAGCCCACCTTCTGCCATGCCCAGGGG